CATTAATTGTATTCTATCACATTGAAGAGGATTTCCAATGTCCGGATTACATGTTCAAATGTCCTGATTCTTACTGTATACCAATGAGACGACGATGCGACTCTGTGTGGGATTGTCCAAATGGAGAGGATGAGAAAGACTGCTGTAAGTAATATTTATTTTCTCAGTACTTCCATTTTACAAATAATTACAATTTGAAAGATATACCAATCAATGTTGTTTCTGTTGCCTATTCATCAATGTAACATTAACAATCAAAGAATAATGCTTAAGTAGGATGGAAATGGATCTGTCTGGGTATCATTCAACTTAACAACTGAATAATCAGAGCCAGGAATATGCGAATGTAAAACAATCCTTTCTTGAATGAAATGAATGATTATTTTATTCCAGCTTCATATTCTTGTGCCAACTACTATCATTGTCGCGCTTCCAGTCAATGCATTTCTCCCCAGGAGGTATGTGATGGAGTTAGAAACTGTCCGTCGGGTGATGATGAACAGTTTTGTGGTAAGTTGATTAATAATAATGAAGATGATAATAATAATAATAATAATGATGATGATGATGATGAGAGTGATTATGATGAGGATGATGATGATGATATGATGTTAATGATAGTGATTGTGATGATTATGCGGAGAAGGAAGATGAAGGGGCGAATTAAAATGATGATAATGATTAGGATGATGATAATGATGACTAATGAAAATGACAGTGATGATAACAATGATGATGATGCTGGTGATTGTGACGGTATTGATGATGATGGAATAGTGATGGTGATGTGAAGAGGGATGAGGAGACTGATCACATTTGTGGCTTCAAATTCAATCTTAATTAGCTGTACATTTTCAACTATATTCGTATTGTTTTATTATTCCACATTCTAATGATATTTGAATACATTCTCTCTCAGATATCTCTTGCCCCTCAAGCTGTACGTGTTCAGGATTTGTAGTGAAATGTTCCTCTACTATAACTACTGCTGATTTGGAACTTCTTCCAACTTCTGTCAGATATTTGTAAGTAAACAACATCCATTTAGGCCTATAAAATAATCTGTTCACGACATACTATAAATACTATTCATAGGTTTCATTTATTTGTCTTTGTTTGATTGTCTTCGTGATAACAGTTCAACATGCAACATCGTTCATTTTCAATCAATGTTTTTTCCATGTTCAAAACTTTCTTCTTCATTAAAAACAAACATGTCAAAAGGTCAAATTACTAAAGTATGGAAGGTGCAAAGAGCATTCAAACCAAATTATATTACGCCCTCTATCGTATTGATTTTCTTCATAACATACTCTCATTTCCATCTTTCTTACAGTGTTTTAATAAAAATATAAGCGTATAAGCTTCAACAACTTCTTTTTATGTAACTCAACTTTTCCTTGTGCTAAATACGTGTGGTTCACCACGTAGAACCAAAAAACCACAGTTCTTTTCAGAACTATCTACGTGCTGTACCGCAACCATGCAAACAATATTTTGTACTCATCCTCTAAAACGATAATATCATGTAAAATGAACGTTAGATGGTAACTTTGTTCTTTATTTGTAGGGATTTAAGTTCGAATCTACCAACCGCTTCAACAGAAGGGCGAGCGAAAAGAACAGTCATTGATGACTTCTTACTTATTCTTAATAGATTTCCCTTTCTTCATACACTGTAAGTATCATTCTTTACCATTATCATTTATATAATAATGCTGATAATAATGATAGGCCTATTGATAATGATAATGATGGGGGTGGGGGTAGGGTAGAAACCAGTCTCACACCCGCTTAATACGGGCCTGTAAAACTCCACCAATCAATCAGAAATTGGTTAATTATCTGTGAATTTGTGTTCAACAAACCTATTTCTTTTTTCAGGGATCTGTCAAATAATAGTATAGAAGTTCTTTTTCCTGGTCAATTTTCATCACTTGTCAATCTAAGAAAACTGTAAGTTTATCATATGAAAATATTTTACTTGTTTAAACCATTAATAAATCTGTATACAGTATGTTTTATTATCAAACTGTTTATTTTTAAAATTCAGTCCATAAGTGAATACTATTATAATGAACAATATTTATTTTTTAGGAACCTTTCTCGCAACGCTATAGATTTCTTAGAAGATCAGACGTTTGAGGGACTCAAAAACCTTAGCATTTTGTAAGTATAGGGCTGTATCTTGTTTATCTCTGTTCTGCATAAGTGCTTCGAAAGCTAGTGCTGTTCCGTACTACAAAGCAATCCAAACGGTTCATCTCACAACCGAATAACATGAATTGAGATCTGTAGCACATGCAAGGGCGCAGATCTGTTTTGGAAGGTGGGGGACAGTCATTAAAAATTTAATAATAGTACCCCAAGACTAGATGGCCGGAAATTACAGTTTTATTAGTAAAATCCATCATCATCACATCACCACTATAGTCAGAATGAAGCGCCAACACATTTCTTATGATCTTTTATTAGCGATTTTTGGCAATCATAGAGATGTACAGTAATTTATCTTTGTGATGTACCATAGAAAATAAAACAGAAAAAACATTGTGTTTGATGTATTCAAGTTAGTTTACCTAATTTATGTGCCGAAAACCAATCTTATCTTTGCACGCCTTTTCTCATACTTCTTAAATTATGATAAAGGGACGCGCACTCGATTCGTGTATTTAATAGGTAATTCAGGGGTTTATGGGCAGAGATACCGGTATCTTGCTATAAGGTAAGATGTACTCTGGCTGTTACAGCGCTCATCGAATCATTTATGCAGTTATTTCAACAATTTTCCGGCATCTTGACTTATGAAATTACATTGCGGTCGAAAAGTGGGGGACCAACCTCCTTAAAAATATATAATTATAGTATGACATAGGCCTAACTTTCTTATACAGTATGTGTTGTTGATTTTATTAGTTGTTAAAAAGATCAAAAGTATGCAATACTGTTTTTTTAAATATCAAACATGAACTTATAAATTTCCTCATTGTATTATTATAAATGTATTATATAATATTCATTTTTTATTTATAGGGACTTGAGTTACAATGGTCTTGAAAAAATTGATAGATATGTATTCATGGACATCAACAACACAAAGCAACTGTAAGTATATAATTATATGCATAGGCCTATTACTGTATGTACTCATTAGTCATAAATGTTAAATAATTCAGATAAGAATATAGTATTATTATACCTGATTATCATTAATGTTTTTATTATGTTTTTCGTCAATATTTGGTTTCTCATATATCTTTTTTGTTCTTGTTTATCTTTACATTCAATTTGCAAAATTAAAGTTATTATTATTGTTTTTAGTTACATTGAAGGCAACGACATCACTGATGTAGATCTTGATACCTTTATATACTTGGAGCTTGATGTCCTGTAAGTCTATGTTGATATATTTATTATATGTCTATTTCGTGAACCGATATATGCCAGTTTTTTGACGAAAATAATGGTAAGTGTATATTCGCTTACAGCAAAAGGAAAATAATTAAGGTTAGTTTCCTAACTTTGATGCATTTATACACTTGGGTCAGACGATTCCATTATTCAGTGGAGGTACGTTCCTTATATTAAGGAAGTTGGCATATGTCATATATGTATATGTATTCACAAAATAAACCAACATCACATTTAATTTGTGTAACTGATTGTATTATGTCGATAAACTAACTATAATAGCTTTAACAGTGTTTTATTATTCAGGTTTTGTGTATTTAACTTGTATTCGTTGTTCAGTATATCAATATTAGTTGGATGTAATCAATTTTTAACATTATTTATTATTTATTTATATATTTATTATTTATATTACTATTATACTTTTATTAATAATATAGTGTCATTTGTTGTACTATATTTATTATTTGCATTTTACTTATACATTTATATTTATATATGTATATATATATACATATTTATAATTATTTAATATTAAGTTCAATTACATAATGTTATACTTTACAGGGAGTCTGATGACTACATGTTCTGTTGCATAGCTACGGCTACATCATGTCTTCCAGAACCAGATGAGTTTTCTTCTTGCAAAGATCTGATGCGAGAAAGTGTTTTACGAGTTTTTATCTGGATTTTAGGCCTCAGTGCTTTAATAGGAAACTTTTGTGTATTTCTGTGGAGATTGAGAATTAAGGAGAAAAACAAAGTCCAGGGATACTTGATTCAGAACCTCGCTGTTGCCGATTTCTTCATGGGTGTCTACTTGCTGATCATTGCATCGGCAGATATCCACTATCGCGATAATTATGTGATTAACGCCAGTGCATGGAGAGGAAGCAAGTTATGCAGTTTTGCCGGGTTTCTGTCGGTGCTATCAAGTGAGATGTCAGTGTACATTTTAACGGTGATCACTGTCGACCGCTTTATCAGTATCGTTTTTCCGTTCAGCAGATTCAAGATGCGATCAAGAGGCGCTATCCGTGTCCTTGCCATTGGCTGGATATTGGTATTTCTAGTGAGCATTATTCCAGCAATTAACAGCGAATACTTTGATCAATATTACGGTATCAATGCAGTGTGCCTCGCACTTCCCATCACGCACCAGGAACTTCCAGCTCCTGCATATTCAATTTTTTTCTTTCTAGGAGTGAATATGGTTAGTTTTATTATTATTGCCGTTTGCTATACAACAATGTACATACGCGTCAAACAATCAGCAGCTAAGTTAAAAGACAACGTCATAAAGAATGACAGCAAGAAAAAGGAATTGAAAATGGCGACTAAAATGGCGGTGATTGTTTTAACTGATATGTGCTGTTGGTTACCAATTATCATTATGGGAATTCTTGCTCGCAGTGGCGCTATTGAAATACCCGGTGATGTTTACGCTTGGACGGCTGTTTTTCTTTTACCTTTGAACTCGGCTATTAACCCACATCTCTACACAGTCTCTTCATATATTACTTTGGAGAAGAAGAAAAAGAAGAAGGTAACGTCTAAAGTTACAGGTTCAACACCACTAAGTACTCCTCAGCCCATGAAAAAATTAAGTAAGTGTAATATTATGCTTAACAGTTACTCATTTTTGTGTACGTTGTAGATTTTTTTGTAGGCCTATTGTGGAAGAAGGCGTTTCATGATCAGTTATGAAAAACATGATTATAAATTCCTTACAGCATATTATCTGTTTATAGTTTACTGTAAATTACTGTATAGATTTGCACATTTAAACAATGGGGCTTTTCTCTAAACCCCACCACCTGAATGTTGTTGCTAAACGACATCGTAAACATACAGTACCTGCGTTTGCGGGACATCTCGTGTGGGACAAGAGCGTATGCCTGGCTTTGTTTTTTTTCTGTTTGGTCAGTTGTTATGTTTGATTGACATTCTGGTGGAAAGGTCCATTATTTTTATCTCTATTTCTGCTTTTTATATTTAAGAGTGTAGCTTTAACTAACTTCATTTGGCTTTTTCTTTCGTCAAGATAATATTCCGATGTGGGTTGTTCCTGAGAATGTACAAAGGAAAAGACAACTGCTTCCATATTTACGAGAATCTTCAAGCCAGGCCGTAACCATAGCTACCAGATTGAAAGAGAGTGAAGGGGGTGGAGTTAAAGATGAGGAGCTAGCATTAATCGAAAAAAAATATTTGGAAGCAATAAATATCATTAGGAATTGCCAGAAAGGGCCGAGTAATTTCATTAAAGATGAGAAGCCAACTTTTGAAAATGTAAAACCCCCTACCGAAGATTACCTCCTTAAAACTGTTGAAGATGACTTTTGTACAGATGATGAAGCAGACAATATAATTAAAGGCGATACAGAAGATATTATTATTAAGGTTGATGAAGAAGACGCCAGTAAATGCGATGAAGATGACATCAGGAAAGGTGATGAAGGTGATGCCAGTAAAAGTAATGAAGATAATGAAAGTAAAACTAATGAAGAGGGTGTAATGATAGAAAACAACGAAGACACTGCCGATACAACGTTTTAGAGGTCAACAACAAACAGTTACGTAGTTTCAACTGCGTATGTCTATGCCGATACAACGTTTCAGAGCAGCTCAACGGGAAGCCGTTTTGAAATTTCTGCGCATGTCTATGCCGAAGGTCATTCAGCATGGGACCTATGTTAATCTTATTTGCAAAATGTATGCAATATACATAATGTTCAGTATAAGACTGTGTAAATACTGATTGAGAAAACATGTATAATCAATTTAATTATTCATTTATTTTATTCAGCCATTAAAGCCCCATTCCCGGCAAAATTTCACTAAAAATGACATTTTTTAGAAAATATGCATTTGCATTACTCCAATTATTATAAATCATGGAAAAATTTTGGCATGAATTTTAGTTTTACGCAAAAGAATAAAAAAAATGAGAAATACAGACTATTTCTCATAGAATATTACCATTTTCTCGACGAATTCATCGTTACTAGGCAAATTCAGAGGTTGTAGATCGCATCCACTGGAATACTCTCGCTTTTATGTATACTTTATAGTCAATAAAGTGCGCCCTCTCTAATGAGAGTCTCTTATACACATCT